ACTTTCTTGCCTTGACGTGCTCTGCGTGAATGCACTTCTTCTCTTGGCTGATTGACTTCTCTTATTCACTCGTGGGTGATCGGGACAACAACTGGTTAGCTCAGCGTTCGTGCTAATTACAAGTACCAGGCACTGGCCGTGACAATTTGGCGACGCAGCTTTTCAGTTGCGATGGAGGACCTGTATCCGGAATTGAAGCAAATGTTGCAGCAGCAACTCAAGCTGATGGAAACCCTCACCGTCAAGCTCTCCAACTCATCTACGGGCCAATCGTGTTCTGCTGGTGGTTCGAAATCCATCGATCACATCATCAGCAGTATCAATTCATTCTTGTATGATCCGCAGGCCACCATTATTTTCGATGCCTGGTATAAAACAATACGAGGATTTGTTCTCTGTCGATCTGGCAGCCCAAGAAGATGCTTGAAAGGTACGACTCCTGCTCCGTAAACTGGGTCCTGCAGAGCATGGACGCTATGCCAATTGCATCCTGCCCAAGAATCCATGAGACCTTTCCCTCGCGGACACGTTGAAGACGTTGTCACGGATCGTTGGTGAGCATTCGTCACTGTTCAAAGCTCAATTTCAGTACCCCCAGCTATGCAAATAGGAGTCCGGAGATCATCACGTACGCCGGCATATTTAATCACGAGTGCGGGTGTTTTCAACTCAGTTCCCTCACAGAAGACCAGTGTAAATGCCTTATATTCATCTGCAGCCTCCAGTCCCTTCAGGATATTGACAACCGGACACGTCTTCTGTCCCACGCACAACAGAGCAGCTCAGTTACCCTCCAAGTACTGGCTGCCGAAGGTCAAGCGCTGATCAATCTCAAACATGATTCAGCCATGATCCAAGGCACTTCTACTGCCGGCTTAGTCAATGGGGTCATAGCAGCTAAGTCACCTCCAGTTATGCCGCCCAAGCAAGCCCCCGAGGCGAAATCCCCGCCCTGTCCTTATCGGCACTGTGGCGCGTGAAATTTCCATTGGGATTTCACATTTTGGCAACATCGATGTCAGAACTGTAATCAGGTGGGGCACGGTGATGGGCTCCGCCAATCCTAAACTTGTGTAAGCAAGCCTGCACCCGTCAATTCCCACCTAAAGCGCCGTTTGAAATCAAAATGCAAGTCCAAACCGCAGTCTCTCGGTAATTCTCTGATTCTGTTGGCCACATTCCAGGTTAACGCAGTTGATCGCTGGAAGTTTTTTAATCTATTGCTCAACGGTCGAACAGTTCGCCTGCAACTGAACACTGTTTCAGATATCACTATCATCTCTGAGAGACTCTGGCAGTCACTTGGCGCCCCCACAATGCAGCAGACTTCTCAGTCCGCCACAGGTGCGTGCGGTGGTCTTGTCCAGTTAATGGGGCAACTGCGATGCAGTGTTTCCTTCCGTAGCACTAACATCACTGCAACTTGCTACTTGTAACATTTTCACTGTTTGCTGCATAAGTTTAAGATGCAATCGCATCTTATAGCTTAGTAAACCTTTTGTATTAAGTGGATGGCTGCAAGCGGTTCAATATTAACCTCAGTGTCTTTATTTCGAATTGGACAAAGTCATTTACTACTTGTTAAAATCGATGTTATTTACCGAATTGACTGTCTTTGTGGACAAGCCAATTATGTTGGCGAAACCGGCAAACGGGTTGCCACAAGACTGCACAAGCACGAAATCGCCGTGCAAAGGAAGGACAAGCTATCCTTGGCCAGGGCACGGCTTCGACTTCGAACACGTGCGAATACTAGGCCAATCGAACGACCGAGTCTCACGCCTACTGCAAGAAGCATGGCACTCGCATGCGGACTCTATTAATAGGCATATCGATCTCC